CCTACCTACCTATATGCCTACCTACCACCTACCTGCCTACCTACCTACCTACCTACCTACCTACCTACCTACCTACCTACCTACCGACCTACCTAAGTACCACCTACCTACCTACATACATACAGGTGCCAATGGGCTTGGCAAATGCACACATACATGCATATACTCCTACATGCGCAAGTGCATGCACGCATGCATATAGTATGTACACATGCATCCATATGCACATATGTACTTACGCGCGAACTTACATCATATATACACGCATATGCCCGTACAGGCTTGCATACATGCATGCATGTATACATACATACATACATACATACATACATACATACATAGATGCATACACATAATGCGATGGCGCAACACACACCTGCCCCTGCTACGCCGGCGCCTAGATAAGTTCGGTACCCATTACAACATCGTATTGGTGCCCGCGTTGATATCCATTTGTTGCTTCCAATTCTTCCATGCCCCTATCCATGCTCCCGCAGGTTGTGAAGAGAAACATCGTTTGGTCGTTTGGTTTTATGAGCTTCCTGCGAGGTTGCGGAGGAAAGTGCACGCGCGGCTCCAAAATGCTCGTGTACATTTGTGGCGCAAGAAATCGATCTATTTTGCTTTGGACACCGCCTTTCTCACCGCTATTCTTCCCAGGTGACACTCAGGAATCGCTGCCCGACTGGGTGCCTGAGCAAGGCCTTCACAACCGATACTCCACATGCTGGACACTTCGTCACCGCTGCGACGGAAGGTTCAACAACAGATGCAGCAGAGAAGCTCCAACATGTGGAAAAAGAAGGCAGTTGCAGAGAGTTAATTTGTTTGGCAAGTTCTCCCTTTTCACTGGTGTCGGTGCGTTGTATTGGGGGAGGAGCCCGAAATTTCTTAAGCTAAACTGTGCCAGATGCCAAAAGAAAAATGCCTCCTCCACCGGTTCCCAACAAGGCCAGCTGCGGCTTCAGTGGACAAATGGTGCGCTTCTGAACAGCACGTTCTTGAGGCAAAGAAGCCTCGCCGATGGGATGCGAAGAGGCAGTCGGTTGCGGTAAATGCTGGGAACTCTGGCTGGTAGCGCAAGCGTGACAAGATGATTTGTGAGGAAGGGGAAGTACATTGAGGAGCTGCATAAGCTGACAGTCAAGGAGTTCGTTACTCAGAAATTTCCAGAGCTTCTGAGGCAGATTAGTGACTGCAACGGCGCATGTCAGGCTTCGCAGCTCTTGCCGAGAGAAAGGAATCGACAGCAAGGGATGTAAAGCGAAGTTGGTTGCATCACAGACATGTTTCGATCGAGCGCTTTGGAGCCCCTCACGATGGTACCACAGTGCCCCAAATCATGTGTCGCTTTGGTAGCCAGCCAGGAACGTCTGGTGGAAGTGGAGATTCAATCGACGTCCAAGGTCCCAAGTTGATTCATAAGCCGTAGGAGTATGCATGCCGCACAGTTCTGGGCAGGACGTGGAAGTGCCTTCTCCTGAAGAAAGTGGGCTTTGGATTCCACCCACAAGGTGAGTCTCGATCTGTTCACTACGGCCTCTATGTGCCTTTGGGCAATGTCCGCTTTGCAAAGTTCCTAGCAGGTCGCCGCTGCGGGGAGGTCAGGAGGCACTGCAAGCGAAACTTGATGTGCAGGAGCAGGAGGTGGGCGGGCCCACGGAGAACAGCGACAGGTTGGCAACCTTGGGCGTGCCAGGACAGCCATGCTTCCTCATCGATGCAAGCGGCCCAAGCGGCGGATGCTGCGCGGGAAGTCGTGTCATCCCTTGCGAAGAAGTTGGGAGCAGCAGACTTACGACCTTTCAAGTCATACGTGCCAGCATCTGGCAAGCCAGCTGACAAGCAAATGATCAGAAACCGTGCACTTTGCTTGCTGTTCTGAGTTCTGAGGCCTTGCCTTTGGCCGAACTCCGTGATGCCTGCCGCGTGCGGGGTCTGCAGGCATAACCAGCGACTCCAAAACAGATTCAGCGGACTGCCATGCCCGAGATCTGCATAGCAGGGGTCGCAAGAGCCAGAGTATGCCTTATTGCGGGAGCAGGCATCGGGCGGCCGAAGCGAGCTCGTGGGCCGCCTTGCAGCTTTGGCGCCGCAGGCGGATCGGCCGGTTGAGAGGTCTTCTACCGGCTGTCAGCGACGTGTTTTGTACTGCTTTGTTCGTACCATTTCGCTTGCGCATGTATTAGAAACTCTTTTAACTTGGACGAAGCTTCTTGGACGATAACTCACCTTGCATGAGCATGCAAGCATCGCCGGCTCCTTCGTTAGCGTGCAGCATCGGTCCATTGACTTTTCACACATCCATGTGGATGCCAGCACACAGTGGCCATGCGCACATGCCACAACCAAGGCCGGGGGGCTTGAAGCACTTCCTGCAATTGACATTTTGTCGCTTTTACTTTTTTTTCCATAGGTGCTTAAGACCCTGACAAGAGCTGAGATGGAGGCAAGTCCGATACCTTGATGCTGGAAGCGAGACCAAAGCCCGCAGCGAAGACCTTCAGGGTGCCAAGCCGAAACTCCATCAGTGATAGCAGTCAAGAGTGCATGATTTCGGGGGGGTAGGGGGGGTAGGCACCGCAGCCCCCCAACACCCCCGACAGGGCTATTCTTGAATTAGGCTGCGAGGAAGTAGCTGACTCCCATTCCACGCTGGCAGTGTCGCCAAACGCAAAAACAAACCCTGACATGCACTATACCAAGAGAAGCCGGGCCATGTTGTCACCTATCACAATTTTTGGCTGCAGTTCTGTGAAGGTCCAGCCTGGCGAGTCGCGGCCTCGTACTGCCATCGTCAAAGGTGGGGGGTGTTGTCTGCGGTGGGAGAGGTCACAAGAGACTCAACCTACCCCTTCGGCGGAAGAGGTGCAGACTGATGCTTTTCTTGATGTTGGGACCAGCTGTGGTCTGGCCCGGAGGTCCCTGCCAGCATGGAAGGCCTCTCCTTGGTGGCTTTGCAAGCTGCCTGCCCGCGCCCTGTCGACACGATTCCCGGAGGTGTTCCGACATGTTCTGGTGTCTCCAAGGCCGTGCTTGTGGCCTCAATGCCGCGGGTGACACAGCGGACCTCACAGCCCGGCTGGCCGTGCATGCGGCATGCGAGGCTGAGACTGGTGCGGAGCGCACAAGGCAGAAGCAGCATCTCCTTACGCCTTTGCAGGAGCCTCTTGGACCAGAGGAGGCTGTCGGCTCTTTCGTTTCATGTGCACGGATTGTGGCTGTATGTTGTTGCAAGGAGACCGAACAGTTGCAGGGACAGCAAATTGTCGCAACACCAACCGCCGACTTATCAGAGGCCGTGATTGAACCAGAGCCCTCGCAGGGTCTCGATGCTGCAATTGCCGACGCAGAAGCGGACAGCGCCGACGGTGGCGGAGCTGGCCTACTTGTGCAGCCTTCGGAGGACGTGCACGTGAAGGAGATGCCTGTCACGGAGCAGCTGGACTTGGTGCCCTCACAGCTCTCGATTCCCGCGGCTCAGCCAGATTGGCCTTGGCATCCGAAGGGTGGGGCCAGCGGATCCGAGACAGGAGTGAGAAGTCCAGTAGACCTTTGCGCGTCACAGCCGTTAGACGAGGGCTTTCGTGCAGGCCTTAGGCTGTTACACACATCGGAGCTTCGTCATCTTTGCGAGCAACGTGGTTTGGGCTCAACTGGTGAGAAGAGAGAGCTGCTGAACACGCTGCTGGTTCACTTTGCTTGTGCCCCCCAGCCCACTCCGACCCAGGATGCCGGCATTTGCATCCCGCAGCAGCATCGCCCTGCACCTGTGCAATCCGCTCCGGCCACTGCCGCTGTTGCGACACGCCCTGCCACCAAGTCGAAGACGAAGGATGCGAGCCCTCCGCCACCCAAAGTGCCACCGGAGCCATGCATTGATCCGGAGGGTGCGAAATCTACAGCAGCACAGAACAAATTGCAAACAGAGCCAAAATGTGCAGAAGCAAAGGTCCGCAATGAAGCGCAGACAACTCTCGTCGAGGAGGTTGAGCAGTTGCAACCGCTAAAGCCCGTGCAGCGAGCACCTCTCGCTCATCCCTCATTGCTGCGACGCCAGCGTGGCCCCACACCAGCGGTTGCTCCCAATTTCTCGGCACTTTGGCAAACAATGTGTAAATCACGGCCCAAACAGCGAAGCGAGGATCCTGAGAAGGCTGATGCAGGCGCTCAGAGCTCGTTCGGCTGGTTGCAGCAGGGGCTTTCAGACTTGTCTTGGCAGGTGTCGGTCTCACAGTTCCCCCTCCTGGCATGCTGCCGGCCCATGTGGGAGACCGATGTGTCAAATCCCGGCCGACACGGTCGCGCCGACGGACGCAAGCTGTGGGCTCCTGCCATGCCTGGACCGTTGCAGGCGCTCTCGCAGAGTTACGACGGAGATGCAAGCTATGTCCGAATGTCACGAATGTCGCTTTTTCGCCCAATCTCCAGGTGCTCCATGCCGCAATGCTGGACACATCAAACCTGTTGGTGCTCGCTTTGTCTACTGCGCTAGGCGCGAGCGCGCGCCATCTAAGTCAGTCTTGTAGGATAGACGTGTAATCCTTGCAGCGAGGCACAGTTCTCGCTGGCCACGTTTCGAGACCGTGGGTGTTGATGAGTTGAAGCCGCGCCCCGACGACAGCGATAGCAGAGCCTTGGCATGATGTGGCTCCACAAGTGGCCTCAACTCCTCAACATGTAGCTGTGGATGTGGCGGACCCAGGAACCAGAAAGGGAGCTCCAGACGGCACCAGCAGCCTGCTCCAACATCACCGGCTTGCTTGCCAAGATGCCGCGGCGCCACATGCCAGACATGAAAGGAGAGCAAAAGCTTCGACAGCAGCAGCACCAGAGCCGTCAGTGGCTACTGCAACACCGGCAAATGGCATTCCCAGGACTGCATGCATTTCCTGACAGAAGGGATCGCCATGTGGCTTGGTGTTGTTTGTAGAACTGCGTGTCGACAAGCTGTGAAGGAATCGTTGCTGTTGCGTGCTGGACTGAGCCAACGCACCAAGCAAACCAAACAAAAACCAGCACGCCAAACAAACTAAACAATGTAAAGAAGTAAGCCGCATCACACGCACACACACACACACCACAATAACGCCAGACTACAGAAAAAAATCAAGCATTTCCAGGCCAGTCCCGAAGCCTCGGACCATGGATATATATATATATATACATATATATATATATATCTATATCTATATCTATATCTATATCTATATCTATATCTATATCTATATCTATATCTATATCTATATCAATATATATATATATATATCTATATCTATATCTATGTCTATATCTAAATCTATATCTATATCTATGTCTATATCTATATCTATATCTATATCTATATCTATATCTATATCTATATCTATATCTATATCTATATCTATATCTATATCTATATCTATATCTATATCTATATCTATATATATAGATAAAGTTCTTTTTTGTGTCGTTTTGTTTGGTTTGTTTGTGGGCGCGTGTGAGTGTGTTGTTGTTGTTGTTGTCTAGCTCTAATTCAGGAGCACCCTTAGAGGCCTTAGAGCATGTCAGACGATGATGATCAAGCTTCATGTTGCCTCTCGAACTCGAAGTAGGAGGGCTCTCAGGAAAGGGACGTTTGTTTGCCTCTCACACAGAAACAGACGAAACTTCTTTTTGGTAATTCTTGGTGTATGTTGGGCGTGTCAGAAGCTGTTGAATTTCGTGTGCGGGTAGAACAGTTTCCCTTCGTACAGAGGCAGCGATTGACCATGTCTTGCATGTCTTTTTCTGAAATGAACTCTCGTTTTGAGGGTTCTTGTTACCTATCAAGTAGAAGTTTAGGGGAAGCCAGTGTTCTTGTGTGACTGAAACAGATAATGATCTCTCTTTCTTTCTCTCTCTCTCTCTTTCTTTCTTTCTTTCTTTTTTTCTTTCTTTCTTTCTTTCCTTCTTTCTTTCTTTCCTTCCTTCCTTCCTTCTTTCTTTCTTTCTTTCTTTCTTTCTTTCTTTCTTTCTCTCTCTCTCTCTGTCTCTGTCTCTCCCTCGCAATTCAATGAAAAATGCGGGCCTCCTCTCCTAAATCGAAAGAGCTCTTCTATTAAGAAAAGTTCTTGTGTCAGAGTCAAAAACATACCCCATAACATACGGTCACTACATGTCATTACTTGGTTCTCGTGCCATTGCCGCCCGTGGTACGGGAGGCACTTCCAGGATGGCAGGGGCGATAGATTCATACCACAGGGATTTTGAGGGCTAAAGCAGGGCTGCGAAGAACTCGGAAAGTAGTTTTGGAAACGCAGCGACAGCAACATCACCGTCACAATCGTCAGCTTCATCATCATCACCATCATCATCGTCATATTTGAATTTAATCATCGCCATCATCATTATCATCACTGTCATATTGACACCACTATCAGCGTCACTGTCGAATCTTGCGCAACTTGTTCACCATCCTTTATTGCCGTTCAGCGCCGTACAGTTTTTGTCCGTTTTGCCACTGCGCTGTCCCAAGCCAGTGCGTCTTCGAAGCCGCCGCTGGCGCAAAGTTTCAGAGTCCCAGTCTTGAGTGGGCCATGTCGAGAAGCCGCGAAGACGACGTTCATTATGTACGTAGAGTTAAGGCAGCAGGAGCTCGGAGCGCGAGAGTAGGGACTGCAGAACCAGTACACTTGAGGCAAGGCATCGTCAGAAACAGATCGTCATTAACCCCCTAAACCCTCCACATGAGGACAATACTACCGGCAGCAAGCAGCAGCACCATGCAAACATCACCATTAAGAGTAGCAAAGAGCAGGAGCATGGCAGCAGCAACGTGAGGCAAGTCGGCTCCTTGAAAGACCGCAACACCGCAAAAAGGCCAGCCGCTGAAGCAAGGAAAATGCCGAGTTTCCAACTTCCCGGAAAAGCAGCGAATATCTGAAGACCACGAAGGTGCACGGGCGTGTACGGCACGCCCTCCCACTACTTGATTACAAGGAAGAGTTGCTAGATGAGTTTGTTTGGAGACAAGGCAACTCTTCCTCTTGACGGACATCGCGCGTCATAACTAAAAAATGGGAGCCCTCTGCTGCTTAAGACATGAACTCAAGGAAAAGTGTTCCTTTGTCACTCTGCTGCACAGCAAGAACGAGCAGCTTTAATACCTAGGTTTTGCATGATGGAGGACCTTTCTGCTTGCTTGTCATGACAAGCAAACGAAGCATATGATTGCGTTATCGATGAGCCGAACTTGTTTGCTCTATGTAAGATAAGCCAGTTCGTTTTGAACAATGACACTCCAGGAGCACAATTCGATGCACGTGTGTGTGTGTGTGGTAAGCAGTGGCAACGTCATAAGTTCAGATGTTGGTTTGCCTTGCCAAGATGTTGTGCAAATCCGGGGGTTCTGGATGAACTGTCAGAGACATCGAGGGTGTGCAATCAGGAGTCGCAGCAACACACATTGACATGCAAATACTTATCCACGTACATAGATACATCTATATATATACATATACCAAGGAAGATCTATCTTGTCGTTATTGTTGCTTGAAGGTGGCACGCAGAATGGTTATGTGCAGGGGTGCGCTTGACGAAGAACAATTTGCGATTCTGTACAGACGACGTTTGTAACACGTGACTTCAATCCCAGAAAGCATTTGTCAAGTCTAAACATGCATAACCCCGAGACCGTGCGAGGAAGAAGCAATCGGCAGCTCAGCTGTTAGCAGAGGCAGAACGCGCTGTGTTGCTTTTGAACTAGTTTCATCCGAAGTGACTTTTCCTGTTGCGCAGGCATCGACGGGGAAGGCGTCCCACGACAAGGTGCTTGAGATCGCGAGACCCAGCTTGGGAGTCCAGTCATACTGCCTGCTGACTGGATGTCGCTGAAGGCGCCAAAGTCGGGGCATGGTGTCTCAACGCGAGCGGAGTCTTCAGCCTGCACATCTGGAGCAGTCGTTGCAGAGAAAGGCGCCGAGAATTTGAACAGGACGCGAGCACTGTAGAGAGTCAATTACCTCAAACTCGCCTGCAGGGTTGATGCTTGGCCTGCGGGCGGATTTAGCAATTAAATGCCCCAGGAACGAGCGCAAAAGAGCCGCACCGATGACAGAGGCAAGCAGAAGTTTTGCATCTTAGACAGTTTCTTGGTGGAGGGGAAAATCTAATCACGACCGTGCATTCACGAGCACTCTGCTTGTATTTCATCTTCGGTCTGTGCTTCGCCAGGAGCGTCCTGGAAAAAGAGCCCGAGACAAGGACCTCCATCGAGTAGAGACTGTCCATTCATGGGTATCCCCTTCGGCCATTCTTGAACTAGGCTAAGCTTCCCGGCCTCTCGCAGCTCATCGGCCTTCTGCCGAGGCGGGTTAGGTTGTGGAGCAGACTCCCCATCAAACTGTCCGCACGCAGGCTGAAGGAGTCTTGAAGCTATCAACTGACGATTGTGTTGCATGATCTCCAGTGCTTCCAGTGTATGGTAAATGGAGATGTGTAGATGTAGATCCCGCAGCAGATACAATGTTGAACACTGGAAGCGAAAAAGTTTGCAAGTGTGACCGGTGCAAGACATCTCGGATGCTCGGTACTGTGACTTGTTTAATTAGCAATGGTTAGCAGCAGATCTTGTCTCACGATGAGATTATGCTTTGTGCCTCATGCCGATGAACATTCAAAGGGATGGCGCCTGCCTGCTTGAGGCTAGACATGCATATTCACGTCTGTTTCCCAACATATTTGTTTGTACACTGAACAGCGAACATACATCTAGTGATCATCACAAAACAGCAAGCAAACCAGCACGCACACACACACACACACACACATGCAAGCAACCAAGCAAGAAGCCAGCAAACCGACCGACCCCAAACAACCAACCAAACAAACAAGCAAACACACAAACAACAACAAACACAAACAAACACACAAACGAAGACAGAAACACACAAGCAAACAAACAAACAAACAAACAAACAAGCAAACAAACAAACAAACAAACAAACAAACAAACAAACAAACTAGCAAGTAAACAAACGAGCAAACAACCAAATAAACAAAGAAACACACACAAGCAAGCAAGCAAGCAAGCAACCAACCAAGCAAACAAACAAGCACACAAAGAAACAAAGAGACAAACGAAGAAACACACACACAAACAAAGAAACGGACAAAGAAACATAAACACACAAATTAAGAAACCACGATCAACAACCAAGAAACAAAGAAACAAACCAAAGAAACGATCCAAAGAACAATCCAAAGAAGCAAACAAAGAAGCAAACTAACAGCAAACGAAGAAATACACAAATAAACAAACAAAGAAACACACTAAGACACGAACTAGGAAACAAACTGAGAAACACACAAAGAACCAAGCAAAGACACAGGCAAAGACACAAACAAAGACACAAACAAACAAAGAAATAAACAAACACACGAACAAACAAACAATCAATCAAACAACGAAACAAAGAAACTAACAAACAAGCAAGCAAACAAGCAAGCAAACAAACAAACAACGTACACGGTTCACATAAACAAGCAAGGAAACAAAGAAACACACCAAAGAAACAATCCAAAGAAACAATCCAAAGAAGCAAAGATAGAAACAAACGAACAAGCAACCAACCAACCAAACAAACAAACATGCAAACACACGCACACATTCATACGTACAGGCACAAGCACCAACACAGCGACACATTCATTTATGCATTTGTAGATGTATCTACACATATACAGAGATGTAGTATGAATATACAGATTCACTCGGACATGGACATGGACAGACATGGACACGGACATAGACGTTTGCAGAATGGAGTATGTATATACATAGAACATGGAGGTGTGGCCTCACAGGCAGGAGTGTCTGACAAAGGACGCGCCTGGTGACAAGTCAATCCACAAGGATTGCAGCGACTCGCAAAACGAGTTCGCTTTCGAAGGGGTTCCGCGCAATCAAGCCGGTAGGGGAAAAGATAATATTAAAATAGATGATGCTTCTGTGATTGATATCGAGATAACTATATTGGAACGTTTCAATTCGTTTGAAAATAGTAGTTATTCGAGAATCCATCGATTGCATGGTACGTGCAAATATTTCACCAATAAGAAATAGAATATTCTTAATTATAATCCTATTCTTAATGATTTGGAAATTTGATTTCTAGGGAGGATCTATTCTTTGATAAGATTTCATAAAATTTGGTTTCTGGGGATTAGGAGTTTGTCAAATATTAAGAAATTTTAAAATTTTTGATTTGTTAATGAATTGGATTTATTAAATTAATATTATTTTAACAAATTAACGGTTAAATGTGAAAATTGCATTTATTCTTGAATTATTTGATAGATATTGTTAGTATTATTGATTTGCGGGGATTAGGATTAGGGTTAGTAGGAAATTTAGATATAATGGAGCTTCTAAAAATTATATTTCTAAGTTCGGGGCTAGGGAGATTAATATAAAATTAAATATAAAGAATAAATAAGAGGTTTCTGAAAATAGGGGATTTTTAATATATTATCCTAAATAATAGGATTTTTATTATAAGGACTCAAAAATAAGGTGCTTAAACCTTCGGAAAATCTTATTGTATAAAAATGAATTATGGGGGGAGGGGAGGATAATATTGGGGTTGTCTCGGGGGGGGGACGGAGGAATTCTGTTTGATGAGTGAAGGCAAAAATTATTTAATTATATTGAAGAATATTTGAGGGCGCGATCACGGTGCTCTACCCTCCCCGTTCTAACTGCCTCCCGGTGGCTTGTGGCTTGATTTTTTAGTGGTGCTACTAGTAGTGATTTGGTTGTAGTATAGTAAAGAATCTTTAAAGGCTGCTAAAGCGTGGCCGCGCTTTCCCCGCCCTCACTATTCCTACTACTCCCATCGCCGCCACCGCTCTTACGGTCCCCAGCTGCCAGTAGAAGTGGTTTGTGGGCTTGTTTTCATTAGTGCCAGTAGTAATGGCTTCTAGTGCGTGCCTATTTATTTTCTGTATTATCGAGTCGGGGGTCAATAATATTTTTTTCCAAGATTATTATAAACGATCTTTATCATTTCAAATTAATTATAGAAAATTTATTTCATATATAATAAAAGATTTCTTTTTATAAATACTAAATATTTAAATTGATAATATAATATATTTATTATTTTTTAATATTTAATAAATAAATAACTAAATAAGAAAGAAGAGAATAGAATTATATAGAATAATAATAAAAAAAGATATTCAATGAATCATTTAATAAAGAAGAAAATTCATATTAATAATTCCAAATTAATAAATATAATGACTACTATAGAATACTATTAATAAAATAATAAATCTCGCGATATATTTCAGTCCATGACGAATTAAAAATTAAATATATTAAAATCATCCAATATTTCAAATAAATAATAAATAAATAATTTCATTAATACTAATCGTGCTTCTTTTATATTCTATTCGAATTAATAATAAAAATAAATATATTTTATATTCTATTCAAATTAAAAATAATTAATAAATAAAAATTTAGTAATGAAAACTTATTTTATAATTTATATAAAATACTAGAATTGACCCTTTACTTCCAACAATCGGAAAACTTAGACATAATTTAGAGCCCCAAGTCTCAATACAAAAGCATAAATCTCGTATAGCAGAACGACTATAAATAAATTGACATCGAATTTTTGAACGTAATTTTCCGACACTAAAATCAATCATAATCATTTAGATATACTATTCACTTCGATTTGTATAACAACCATCCCAAAAACGAAGCCAAATTTCAAATAACAACTCCTTACGTCAAATTATATTCAGAATACCATACCGACCGAGAGCAGAATTATAAGTAAAATACGAACATCTTACATAATCAAAGAAAAACAACAATAATATAATAGTGCAATATCCATATATACAATTTACCGCTGCTTACCATCTAACTATAAGAACCAACCACAACCCTCAAATTAAGAGAACACTTCTAAATAAACTACATTATATATAATATGCATATAATAAATTATATCAAAGAAAATAGATAGAAATATAGAAAGAGAATGATAGAGAGGGAAATAGAAGACAAACAGATAAATAGAAATAAATAAATAAATAAAATAAATAAGACATCTAAGGGAGATAAAATAAATAGACAAGAATGACAGATAAGAATAATAAAGAAGAATAACAGATAAGAATGGCAGGCAAACAAAAGAGACAGACGAGACAGAGAAAACAAGCAAGACAGATAAGACAGACAAGACAAACAAGACAAATAAGACAAACAAGACAGACAAGACAGACAAGAAGACAGACAAAGAGACAGAGAACAGACAGAGAGACAGAGAGACAGAGAGACAGACAGACAGACAGACAGACGGACAGACAGACAGACAGACAGAGAGACAGAGAGACAGAGAGATAGAGAGATAGAGAGAGAGAGAGAGAGACAGAGAGAGAGAGAGAGACAGACAGAGAGACAGAGCGAGAGAGAGAGAGAGACAGACAGAGAGACAGACAGAGAGAGATAGACAGAAAGAGATAGACAGAGAGAGATAGATAGAGAGAGATAGACAGAGAGAGATAGACAGAGAGAGATAGACAGAGAGAGAGAAAGAGAGAGAGACAGAGAGAGAGAGAGAGAGACAGAGAGAGAGAAAGAGAGAGAGACAGAGAGAGAGACAGAGAGAGAGACAGAGCGAGAGACAGAGAGAGAGACAGAGAGAGAGACAGAGAGAGAGAGAGAAGAGAGACAGACAGACAGACAGACAGACCGACGGACGGACGGACGGACAACCAGACAGACAGATACTGAACTTTCGCGTGCAAGCGCTGCTCCATAGCACTACATGTGAAAATCCATGTGATCGATAACCCACATGAATGGATGA